ATACACATGACATTTAGGTGAAATCCTTCTATTCTTCTGTTTCGCAAAATATTCAAATTATACTCTTGAGGAGCAAAGTTACTGAGAAAGATGGAATTATAGACGGTTTTGCCAATTTCATTACTTTCCTTTCAGTTACAACCTTTTTCATAACTTCTGTGTCATAAAGTGTCTTCATACACATAACATTCAGGTGAAATCCTTCTATTCTTCTATTTCACAAAATATTCAAATTATACTCCTGAGAAGCAAAGTTGCTGAGGAAGACAGAACCATCGACAGTCTTACCAATTTTTTAATTATTACTTTTTTTGTAGTTACAACCTTTTTCATAATTTCTGTGTCATAAAATGTCTTCATACACATGACATTTAGGTGGAATCCTTCTATTCTTCTATTTCACAAAATATTCAAATTATACTCTGAGAAGCAAAGACACTGCAAAAAAGACATTATCTTTCTTTTATTGCAGGTTTCCACTAAAGCATCAAGAGTGGTCAAACCGTTGAATGGTCAGGTGGCACTGGTCACTGGAGGTGCGCGGGGCGTTGGTCGAGGCATTGCACTGGAACTCAGTGATGCTGGTGCTACGGTTTATGTTACGGGCCGTAAACCGGGGCCAGCAACCGGCAAGCCAACGCTAAATGATACAGTTGAAGGTCGATTTTCTTCTTCTGTTAATGTAATATTCGTGTTTGTTTATAATTTATAAATAAGCCGATAGCATCCACGTTGGTCCTGGAAGCCGAAGTGGCCGAAGGCATGATAGAGTACAGGAAAAAAGAGAGAAAAGAAGGCAAAAGTGAGATAAGACGTTTCGATCCAAATTAAATCATACACGTCCTTAACACAACACCGCGACTGGACCTCATCAGTATGAAATAAGTTGACAGTTACGTCTATCTTGACCAGGGAATTTGCCCTGCATTATCTGGCTAGAAGTTGCCGGTTGGCACAAATTTCACAGCATCGTTGATATTTTCAAATGAAATGGATCGAAAGAAACTTCAGTAATACTACTGTGCTAAAAGCA